CAAACATAAAATGTATTTCAACAAAGCGAGGATCTCTTTGATGCAATTCATTATTCTGTTCATTAAGTTGTGATGGCCGAGCTATTGAAAAAAGTTGATCGAAAAAGAAGAATCAAAACTTTCAAGTTGGGATTCCTTCGTTTGGACACGTCTTTGTTGAATTGTGTTGGTGCTTCTTTCTTCAAGTTAATGAAACTACATAACAATAATGGTCGTACAAGTGATGTTTCGCATTCGATTGTTTTATGTCATCATGAGCTATGTCAATCAATTACCCACGCAAATTGTAATACCATGGTTGATTTTCTGATGGGGGCATTTATTGACTCAAATGAGCAACTTAAGTAACACTTTTGACCTTTTTTGTGTAATAATCCTCAATTAAGAACCCAGTCACTCAGTCCAGAACTCGGTTGTCTCGGTCCATATACACGTAGACAAATAATTGATTGTTGTATTTTATCGTCAATAAAGCTAATTCGAACATAACTAGAATAATCAAATCATAGCGTGCATAGTTTGATTGGGCAATGGGAAAGTGAAAGATACTCGTTCCAACTGAGACGATGCTAAAAATACAAAAACAATTATTGATTGCTTTTTGGAAAAAATCGGCCCATTATTCTTGCAGTAATAAGTAGTAAATATTTATTAATATCAATTAATAGACAAACGCGTAAGTATAATAAAAAAGAAAATTAAAGACATGTCAGGTTAAATGGTGAAATGTAATGCAAGATCTGCTGTCGAGGAAGTATAATTTGAATATTTCGATAGAACGATAATACACAGTTTATCTAGCATTTTTAGTGAAACGGTTTTATGGGTTTTCATCACGAGCTAATTCAAATATAGTACTTTTTTATGTAGATCAGAGCGTAAACATTAACTTCATGCGAAAAGTATGCTATGTATGCGAAATAAAAGTAATCGTTTTGGGAAATGATCAGCTCTTCTGCCTTGATATTATTATTTGCGTCAAGGCTTTTTTCCATTTAACAGAAATGGGGTGACTTTATTTATTACATTTTTTGCGTAATACGATGACGTTCAAAAATACTACCAACTGATTTATCTTGGTTGGCATCTACTAGATTCGAATAACTCATACACCTTAAATCTGATTTCTGAACCTGCAATGTCAACCATATTAATATCGTCACAAACTGATGGTGAGACACCAGTATGGTGCTTGCCAACAATTTTTAATGGTATCAGCAAAAACATTATCCCAAGCAACTGCGATATATTCGATTGCCTGTTTTACGTTAATTTATACTTCTACATGTCAGAAATTTGAGACAGACTACAGAAGACTAGTTATGTTCGATTGATAATAGTATAACTTGTTGGAAGTGTATCGATTACTTTCTTGCTGTTCAAATAAAGCTGTGACTCGATCTTGAGCTTCAGGGCGGGCCAAGGTTCAGCATCAACATGGGCAAGTCGATTAAAGAACGTATTAGGGTCCTATTTATTCGCGGTTTGAAACCAGCATCTATCGCTATTAACCGACAAAATAATAATAGAACATATTAATATATATCTAACTAACGAAATACCCTTTCATTCTTTCTAGACGAAAATATGATGATGACTTACAGACGTTGTCCATGTATGTATTAGTATGCAGAAAAAGACTTTATGAATTTACCATAAAATTATTAACGTCATTGTTTTGTGTATTTTACCTTAATTATTTCTGTATTACTTTTTCCTTCACTTTCTCCTGTACTATTCCCGTTTTCTTCTTCCATATAATAATCAGTGGGGCATGTTGGCTCTTCAAACTCCAAAATTTTCGTCAGTAACAGCGTCTGTAGGTAGGTCTTCGAGAAGCCTCTCTTGGCTTCTGTTCAAAGACCAATTCGTAAGGCGTATATGTCATTCGACAATAGCTTGCATTCATTGCATACGCGACACGACGTGATCTAAGTCTTGAAACCATAAAGTTGATCGATTTCTTTGATCCATTTTGACGGCTTGCCTTTAATATACTATTGCCCTGTTTCAATAAGGCTCTGTGACTGTGGATGCCTTGGACGTCCCCAAAGATTCTTGTTTCCGACCAGTTACGAATAACTTGAGCATTAAATTCACTGCCATTGTCCGTAAGCAATAAAGTTTATGGGCCAAGATTTAAAATGTTTTTCGGAGGACTTGGGCAACTTGATTGGCTTCTTTTGTTTTGAAGTGAAGCTGTCCATGACCATTTTGTAAAATGATCGCATGCATGGCAAATGTACTTGTAAACTTCCTCCTCCAAATTGCCCATATTTATCAGATCTACCTCCCCTCCGCACAAGTCGAAATTTGGTAGCTAGATTTTGCAGGCTTTATTTTCTATATGTGTTTACAAACCATTCCGTTAAATGCTATGTTGCAAGTAAACATATTGTGAGGACACTTCATTTTAATAAAGTTTTCTTTGGTACAGACTGGTAAAGCTGCCTTTTTGTTTCTTGACGGTTGTGTCTTCTTGGAGGTCAATATACTGTAAGTAGTCTCATCAATAATAAGTAAAATTTGATGCACCAGTAAGGATGTTTCGGTATCGTGATTGTGGAATCTTTAGGATCTCAATGGCTTCTTCGTACATTACTTTGGGTAATAAGAAGTTTTTCTCTATTCTGCACGCTATGGCATGAAATAAATCGTTTTCGACAATAACGTCAAAATATTGAATGAAATTGTCGTGAGGTAATTTTTTAATACTGTCGTATTATCTGAATTTGAGCAGGAAAAAAGGTTATTGAAGAGCAGGTTTTCATAACATTGGATTTATTTGAGGCTCGGAGACAAACTATCGCAGAGAGCGCTAACATACAGTATCTTAAACTAATACTGGGTATACCACGTTACATCTATAAACGTTGTCTTCGAATAGTTCGATGAGATGTAAGACTTATTACACACAGCATGCCAAAAAACGTTTTCAATTATTTGGACGTGGTTTGCTAAAAAAGTTTAGGAGGTGGCGTGGAGTGGGTGGAGCAATCGTATGTATCGATAAATATTTTGGGCTCATTTAATATTACTGTATCAGGCAACCGACTATGCATGACACGCCGTGATGACCAAAATCTGAATTTACCTCTTTTGACACTTAGTATTCCGGACGGGCTTGCTAAGTGTCAAACAATTAGTTCATGCAAAATTACGCACGATTATCCCGAAGTTCCGACGTTGATTAGTTAATCAGATTGACAATGACAAGAATTATCTAATTTGGTTATTATTCTCAACATGTTATATGATATTTTCGGTCAATTCTTGAAATAAACTTTTGTTATCAATTAAATACTTATTTATAAACCAATTACTGTTACACTATTATTTATATTATTCAGCAGGGTTCAACAGTTTGTTTGTAGAACCGTTTCTGCATTCGCAAAATGCAGTTTAGATTGACATATTTGCCATTTGATTCTTCGATTGTCCTACAAGGGAAGCAATGATCGATCCACAGCATACCGATCGATCATGTGTAATTAAGATTGCCACTACAGTTTCTATCTGAAAATTGTTATACCCTTAGAAAGGAGTTCCTCCTCCTGAACCTTCTCTTATTCCGTTCAGCCATTTCTCTCAACTTGTATGCTGAGTTAAATTATCCATAAATATAATTAGGTAATTGCTTATAGATAGGAGTTAGCATTAAAAAAAATCAACGAGCACCTTTCACCATGGCTTGTCTCGACTAATGATACGTTGAGGTAGTTCTTCTATTGGTGCGGGATGAGTAAACATGGCTGTGAAAATATGTGTTGAGTTACTAAATATGTTAGTGATTATTCTTCTATCGTGCGACGACGCAATTTAAATAGAAATAAATTCTTTGAGCAGCTGGTAACCATGTTATTGTGAAAAAAAAAATGCTTTAAATAAGTTAGCGTAAGTTTCAATGGACATATTGATTGGAGAAATATGCTTTAGGTTACTAAACATGTTAGTTATAATTCTTCTTATTGCATGGTATGTGTTACAGAAAATTGATTCATGGTATTTAAGACTTAAATAAAATTGGTTTAAACGTAAGTGCGTTTATCAACGGTTTATTCCATTTTAGGATCAGCCCCACTTGATTTGGTTCGTTATTGAAGTTGCTAACTTTCCGTTTCGTATGCAATATGTTGGGAGCGAATAAAGCACCTTGTCTATTACCTCTTAAATTATTACAGCTTTAATCGTGTTCTTTATTTAGTATTAGTGCCAAACAAACATCTTCAGCCAGTATCTTATTGGTTACATCAAAACAATCATGCGACAGCCAGCCATCACGATCTGTTATGTATTAATCAATTGATTAACTCACGTCAAAAACTTCGTATGATCTTGATTTTGAAGATGATTTGCTCGTTATGACGTAATTTTTTGGCACTTGGTACGCATGAAATTTTTCGACAGGATAATTCATTTGCATTTGCCCCTCCCGACCAGGCTTATTAAGTGTAACCAATTACAAAAAAAAGGTCATTAGAGTGACCGTGCGACCACGTGTAATATTCAAACTCAAACTGATCCCAAGTTTTACAACAAAGGCTTTGTTATAATAATTTTGGGGATAGGAAATGGTAATGAGCAACAACTTACGATCACGATAACCATGCATATTGCTTATTATAGTTATTCAATCTTTATAGATTAGACTTCTATTTTGGGTATTATAAAATATTATTTAGAAAACTGTTTTTCTTATAAAACGATAGTGCGCTGGGACTGTATCAACCAAAAAACTTACCAATTCATCAATTAACAACCACAAAACTATGAAGCAATAAACTTTTTTTCTATTTTTCGTGTTGGCTACAATTTCAGTAATTACTGCTATTCCGCACAAATCGAGTAAAAAAGTTACTCACTTTAAACCATGCGGTGTACGCTATCCTCCACCGTATCTCAACATAACGATATCACCTGATCCTATTGTCTCTAACAAACCCGTTACTTTCAACATTTCCGGAATCGCGCCAACTAAAATTTACCAGAAATCAACTGTGTCAATTACTTTTATCGATACCAACCACGTCGGGATTCCGCAAAAGTTTCATGACGATTTTTGTAAACTCTCTAAATTGAAATGTCCAGTCAAAACCCATACTTATTTCGACTTTTCGTACAAAATTGTGCCGGAAAGTTTGTCTGATTCTTACGCAATTTTAGTCAGGATTTTGGATTCCTCAACAAAAACGCTTATGTGCGCCCATTCTGGCACCATTTTGACTGGTGACATATTCTAACTAATTTTTCTAATTTTGTGCGTTATTTTGTTCTGTTCTACTATCATGTATATTCTTAATGTTTTAATAGAAATATTTTAAGTTTTTGAAAAACGACATACTCTAAATTGGTAGTTAATATAGAAATATTTTCAACTTTCTTATATACTGTATTACTGTTGCTACACCTAATTTTAATATCATGCGCATTAATTTGCAGAGTGGAAATACAACTTGTGTGGGTAAACTTTTTTTTATCAACATCAGTTATCTCGACGGTGGTGTGCTTATTTGACAATGTATGCAATTAGCAACGGCAACGACGAGTTTTTGTATTTAGAGCTTTCGCTCCTTGCTAAAGTCAAGACATAATTTAAAAAGAAAAAATTTTTTTGTTGAAGAGCGCTGAGCTTAAGCTGTTTTGTAAATTGCATGATCATTTCAATTGATGTTGTCGTTTTTATTACCTGTGTCATGTCTTCTTGTTTATGGTCAAAATTCAAGTGAGAGTGATAATGACGGCAAGCAAATCATAATAAATTTATTATTACATTCACGTATACAGAAAAAGATTTAATATTTGCTTTTGGCATTGTTATCAATATTTAAGAGTGTAGTGTAAAACCAACTGTTTGTGAAACTGCCGAATTTTTAGAACCGTTTTTGACGTTCGTTAATATCAAGTCGTAGAACACTGACGATTTTATGAAGGCAATCGTACATGTTTTGTAAAGCGTTTAAAAAAAAATTCAGTCAAACTATATGCATACGCCGGTTATTCTGATCGATATTCGACTTGCAAAGTAAATTTCGATATAAAATTTTCGATTTACATGTTTAACAGCAAATTCGTACTAAACTGGCGTGATTCAAAAAAGAACCACGCTTTCGGTTTAACGGGTTGACCATGTACTATAGAAGTCCATATTATTGTACATTGCCAGCAAGCTTTTTTATCCCTTTTTCTTGTCTGTCTATATAATAATACAATACAAATTGTCTGAATCTTTATCACATATATAACTTTTTACATGTTATAAATTACACTCGCCTAGCAGATTATTGCAAAATTTGCTATTAAAGCATAAAATTTGATATTTTTTATAGTTGCATTTTTGTGTTAAATCAATATCTGGCAGGTAAGACCTTGCTAGAATATTTGGTCTTCTTCCCGAAACGTGATAAAGGTCTTGCGTCGGTGTAATAAATAAAATGTTGTCAGGCAATCATTGTACACTTTCTTAAGACGCCCACTAAACAATGAACGAAGACTTTTCCCTGATAGACGCTTGTTAAAGCCGGCATCACGCAACTCTCAGCAAGTTCTTGTATGCTTCTGGTGCTAAATTAGGCATCAGAGGTCGCAATTCACCCAGGATGTCACTAAATCTCTATCGAAGAATAGTCTTCAAAAGTGGTTCACTGCTAGCACTTGCATATATAACATTCTTATAGTTGAGTAAATTTGCAAGTATAGAAAACTTCTGGTACTGTAAAGGATAACATTATTTGAACTGTTATCACATGTCCATTCCGATTGGAATAGTTAACAACATTGTAAGAGTATTGTTGCATGTCAGATCGAAGTTTATGTCAGATCGGAATTCTTGAAAATGTGTGCACACATACTATGGTATTTACCTAACTGTACAAGAGACACATCCATTAATGAGTTGCGTTATAAGCCATGTTATGGTGACATCTATATTATTAAAAGGTGTTCCGTATTCCAATAATACCTGATCTATAGAATAGACAGTCATAGATTATTTTTCTGTTAACCAAATTCTCTATGCAATTTGTTGTAGTTACTGATATCAATAGCATCGTACGAGTCCCTAAAAGTTGTATAAAGTCTGTGATACATCAAGTTTAGTGCAATGCTGTTAGTCCGCCACCTCCTAATTTTGCATTTACTCAAACTAAGCTGTTACGTGCGTGTAAACACCTCTCAGTGTGGGATAATATTTGGAAATGTTTCAAAGAATATCTGGATGATCTCATTCCACGATGATCAAGTATAACTGTTGATTTTTTCATTAACCATATAAAATTAAATGTCGAACTATTAATAGAGCGAATATTAATTAGAGCAGCAGAGTTAATATTAATGTCAAGTATGTTACTGATTTTCTATATTATTTGAACGGACATAAACCCTGATCTGACATACGCTCGATGGACAAAAGTTTGAATCCAAAACTTTTATAACGTTTATTCGGAATTCCACTAAACAAAATTTAATAAATTTATATTGTTTGAAAGCTCTACTTTTCCTGTGTTTTTTTCATTATAATTGTATTTAAAATGAACAAAAATATTACAAATTATGCTACACTAACCATTTTATTTAGTAAACTGAAACTTATGCTTGGGTTTGGATTGTGGCATTTATTTCAGAATTTTACTAAACAAAGTTTAATAATAAATTTATATCATTTAAAGCTCTGGTTCTTCTTTTTATTTTTAATATAACAATACTTTTTTGGGGGTTTGTTGACTGGGAATCAAACATTGTCGATTTGTGCTTTCTTCAAAAAAAAAATTGGGGAAGATTGTGAAGTAACAGTGGCAAAGCACTCACAAATTATTGGCCTTCGTAAGGGTTTGTAATACAACGCAAAACATTAGCAAACTGCTTAATCTCCCTATACGACGTTATAGAAATTCAGAAATCGCCCTCAACACCCAAAAATTTTGCCAGAATTAGAGACTTTTTTAAAGCAAAAATCCCACTTAAAACGTGTTTGAATTTGATCGATAGTATGTCTTGAAGAATTGAAAAATGTATTGCTAATAATTGGCCAACCAGATAACAATTTTATGAAAAGTTTTCGTATTAGGTTTTAGCTTACTAAATAAAATGGTTGGTGTTACGCAATTTAGTCTTTCGTCTATTTTAAAATTTAACGTAATATAATAAAAAATATACAGGAGAAGTAGAGCTTTCAAAAAATATAGTTTTGTTTTCATAAAAGTTTTGGATTCAAACTTTTGCCCATCAAGTGTGAATTCCGATCTGACATACAACAGTAACGTTTGATTTTTTTTGATGTTAGTCTTTATTCAGCGCAACAATAATGTAAATGGATATTATTACAGTAACCTGGATTTACAACGCAATCCTGTCTACACGAATCAGTGTCTGCTTTGCAGACGACTCTTTAGATGGCTTTTCTGAGTAAACTTGCACTCATAAGTTAAATAAATACTTTTCAATAGAACTACTTTTTGTTGATTTAAATCTGACGCAACAGCATCTGCTAGTCGAAAGGTTGCTCCGAGTTTCTTAATCTGATTGTTTTAATTTACTTTTATTAAGTAATACAGTACCTTTTGTTTAACAGAGCCACGCACAAGAATAGAACAATTAATGGAGCAACGGTGCTGGTAGAAAGCGGGTCGCCGCCTCGTAGAAAACCGTGTGTTAAAGTTTCAATCTGTCAACAGCATTTAGATGGCTAGGAATAATTCTAGTTAAAGTCTGTTATTTAAGTACCCTAAACCCAACGAAGCTTTAATATATAATAACCTAGACGGCCTGTCAAAGTCCAATTATCTGTAGTGATATACAATCGCAGATACGCTGCTAAGAGGGAATTCGACCTTGTCCATCAAATTCCAAATTGGCAAAATATAATTAACTTTGATGTAAAAATTTTCCCCGATTGTACAGACAGGCTTTTGAATACCTTCTATCGACAGAAGTAGAGACATTCACTGCGGTTTAATTAATAGTCAAGCGTAAGAGTCGTGAGTAGACGAATCAAATCTAAGCCACTAACGTAATTCAACAGTCGGTGTATAGGTATTGCCGGCCTCTTTTGAAGAAGTTGCTTCTGTGATAATTAACTCGACAGTTGAATATCAAGTTCCTCCTTACGCTATGACTATGTCTTAAATAATGTACAACATACTAAGAATGAATCACGCTCTGTGAATAGTTGCTACTGATTTATGTCATAATGTGTATAGCTGTGTACTAGCTGTTGTGCGATGGAAGGTACGTCACATCCACCCTGATAATATATTACACCCTAACGAGTTGTTTTGTTTCGTGTAACAATTGTTTTTCATAATGATATCATAAAGCTACAAACTAGATGCAACTGACTACGTTTTATTCTGTAATTTCATACCCGTGTTTAATAGCACTTTTTTGGTTATAAGTGTTAACTTTGATATTAATCTTGGCGCAATGACATTAATTATTACGTATTATTTGTGGTCGGAGACTTTTGAGACGGTACTGTAACTACTCTGCTTTTAGCCATCTCCAAAATCTCAAAGTATTGAAGCATCTAGCGCGCTTTATGGTAACGATAACTATAATTAGAAACAGGTAACCGTGCTACTAAATTTGAAGTTCTTATTAATGTAGTATATTAAGAATAACTTTAAATAATAAGGTTGCAATCTCTCCTCCCAGTAATAATTTTATGAGCCAAAAAGTACAATTGTGTGGGTAAGTCTTTGCAATTTGCGGTAATAAATAATAATGACATGTAGAATCCACGCCGAAAAAAGCGCTTCACAAAAGTCGTTTAATCTATCGCCCAGCAAATATTCTAAATCAAAATAAATACAACTGCCAATAAATCTAAATGCTACCAATTCTCGAAATATATCCGTCACTCTTGCAAGTCTGCACAATAGTGGCCAACCCTAGAAGCCGATGAACGCCTCATCAATGGCTTGATAAGCTTTCAAAATTGGGTACCTAAGCGTTTATTGGACATAACTCTTGCAAGCCATTGCAACGACCCGTGTATTCAATATCTAGTAAATGGTGTTCGAACCCTTTTTTTCTTTTCAACAGTTTGTAATTTTTTGAGGTAAAAAGGCTTTGTCGTTCGTTGAAACTAAAAATATATATAGGGCGTCCAACTCTTGAGTAACCCCATTTAGATCACATAAATTAAAAAACAGAATTTCAGGCAAAGATACATGAAACCAGATACGCATCCCCCCCCCCCCCCCCCCCCCCCCCCCCCCCCCCCCCCCACCCTAACCC